ATTAGATATTTTAAGAAATAAGAGTTCCTTATCTGAAATATTAATTATAATGCAGAAAGTTTTATTATAAACAAATATATAAAAAAATTATATTCACAAAATGTAATTTCTAGAAAATGCAGAATAAAAGTAGATAAAACTTGATTCCAACTTCATCTAATGACAAGCATTTTATTTTATTGGGTTGGCCGGAAAGTTCGTGCCGACTTTGAAGGAAAATTAAATGCAGGAGATTTAAATTTTAGCATAAATTTATTAAATTACATAGGTGCCATTCTGTTCTACAATGCTCCATCTTTCAGATAACTTGAAAATTCCATTCTTCCAGAATCTCTCAAGCTTTTCCGCGAAAACCTTTTCTATGTGAATTTTTATTATCTCGATCAAACAGTTGAAGCCTTCTCTATCAAAGGAATTTCTTAATGATCGAAATAGATACAAATCAGAGGACGCGAGGTCTGGTGAACATACCAGCCGAGCTCTAACAACTTTTGTCGAGTTATCAAAGACACATATCAAAGCATTGCCCTGATGAAACGCGACGCCCTTCCGATTCGGAGATTTCTAGACGTTTTCATTCAAGTGCTGCCTTTAATTCGTCTAATTTGGGACAACACTTGCCTGCATTTATTGTCTCGGGTTTTGGTGAAAGCTCATAAAAGCTCATAAGTCCCACCAGACACAGAGCATGACATTTTTGGATGTAGATTAGCTTTTGGGGTGGCTAAAGGTAGCCTATTCCGTATTCCCTAAGATAGTTTTTGCTTAAGATTATTATAAATGATCCATGTTTCATTCCCCGTCACTACTTGCTACAAAAATGGTGTCTCCTCATTGAGTTTATACAGCTAATAGCAAATGTGATCCATCAGAATTTTCCTCGTTAAATCGCGCAGAGCTCATACATCAGAACAATTTATGTAGCCAAGATTCATAAAATATTCGTGGATGGTGGACTTTGACATGGTCTTTTAATCTGATCTTCATCTGTTGCGAAGGGCGTATCCGAGCTTTCTTGATATTTAGGTAGAAATCACCTGCTTTAAACGTAGAAATGCACTTCAGCAGAGTTCTTTCAGTTAGAGTATTTTCGCCCTACGCTGCACACATCTTGTTTGCCGCTTGCGGTATATTTCTGCTGTTCCGGTAGAAAAAGCATTAAACGCCTAAAATGAACTTTGTTTTCTTTCAAACTCAAACGCGTATAAAACTGACAAAGATTAACGTATCATAACCAAATGCTTTTCCAAATATGTCTAAAGTACCTTCTTTTACGATATGTGTACGTATGTTAGTTGCTTTCATTCGCTATGATGTATTAAGTCGTATTCTTACGCCACCTACCAAAAATCAACACGAACTTTTCGCACAACACAATAATTAGAGTAATGCTCCTAATTATCAGAGGGATGTTTTAAAATTAAATGTATTTTGAATTCTGTCTGTTAGATAAACTATTCACACTAAAATAAAGATTTCAATTAAGAGATGCATCTATTGATTTTAAATTCCCCAGTTTTTTAAACAATTATACTTTGAAAGACAAATTAAAGACCTTACGTCTTAGCGAAAGGCAGCACTCTGGTTTGTTAAATCTAAAGATTTAAATTCCTAAAACATATGCTTATAGGTTATAAATCGGCTAGTTTATTAAACATTTGTAGTTTGAAAGCCAAATTAAATTAATTCCCTAGCAGCGTAAGGTGATGAAATGCCCTGAAAGATTAGAAAGGCACTTAAGACGTTTTTGGCTTTAAAATAAATTAAAGATTAAAATTATTAACAAGTGCGCTTATTGCTTTTAAACATGTCAATATGTTAAGCAGTTTTAATTATAAGATAAAGATTTTTGTCGTACCAGATGGCAGCAAATTCAGAGACTGGTTATTTTCCAGACAATGAAGAAGCTACCATTAATGATATTTCATGCTTGGCGAAGTGGTTATAGTCTATTACTTTAAAATAGGCACTTCAAGGTCCTTTCATCCACCCTCATTTACGATCGTAACTCGTGTTGTCATTACTGCACAGCTCTTAATTTTTGTCACGTCATTTGAGACAATAGTTCAGATCAGTTTTCGTTTGTGTATTTTTCACGAAGTGAAACACTCTAAGAGGAAATCTAAGAGGAAACACTCTAAAAAAATTCACTCTAAGTGAAGAAAAAACCAAAATCGACCATTTGCCACAGCTGTCGTTACCAGGGTTATGAGGCAAACCGAGTGGGGCAAAATGACTTTAAAATATTTTCTCTAAAGTAACAGTATGAGTGGATTATTGCATAGATAATAAATGTATGGTAGAGACATTAGAAATATTTTGGAAGCAGGCAAGACGAAAAATCGGCAACCGCCTTCGCCGGGAATCGAACCACGGACCTCTAGAATACCTGTTCAGCGTGCAGAACCACTACACCACGAAGGCACGCTAGAAAGGCAGGAGAAATAAATACCTTATAGTATGATCGAATAACGTAACGTACCGGTTCAAAAATTTCATTAAAGACGCTTTAAGGTGAACAGAGCTTAAAGCTCTTTTTTTAAATCAAAACAAGTGTACAAGTGTACCAGGACGAAGAATTTATTCTAAGCACAGAATGCAAAAGAATTAACATAGATAAGCTCTTTATAATATATGCTCTTCAGGAAATTAAAGAGTGTGGCGCCCTAGATAGGTACGATGTGCTACTGATAATTTAGGTACATTAAAATAGCAACAATTGCTTTCTTTTTTAACGCACGCTTCTACTGGATGTCAATAAAAATAATCTTACGAAAATTTTTAATTAAAACATTTAACGGATTTTTAGGTTTTGATTCGAATGTTTCTTATAACATAAAAGCGGAAATTTTTAAATTTAGAATCTTATGCAAATTTCATGGGATTTACTATCCTATCCGTACTTAAAAGCGTCTCTAATTCGACAATTTAAATAAATAAATAGTCAGCAAGTCTAATTTTCGAAAAGCTTCTAGATTCAATCTGAAAACTTCAAATTAAAAATTTTAAAATATAAAAAATTAGGAAAATAAAAAAATCGTATTTTTAACCGTTATGGTATAAGTAAGGTTTCATATTTGCACAGTCTAATAGCTCAGAAAATCTAATATCTGCACAAATATTTTGTTTCTAGTTTCATCTCCAAAATAGTTGTAAGCCAAACGGTTACGAGAAGCTCGTTAGTTTAAGAATGAATCCCAAGAGTTCTAAATGCAAAAGATAAAATTATAGATTTATAATAATTGCTTAAAAAAGCAATACCCAATGCTAAGAGAAAAACAAAATGCTGTTATATTGTTCCAATATAAATGAAAACTACTCTCGCGTATTTCAAGAGTCAGATGTATTACAGAGTTTTGATTGCATTAATGTGTATTGATGATCTTGGACTCTGCATAACGACACTCCGTCATGATAACACCAGCATTGAAGTTGTCGAACGTAAGCCAAGTCACAAATCTTCCCAGAGGTGCAATGTGCCGAGATCCTAGTCTTACATCAAAACTGATCAATTCAAATAGTATTTTTATGCCAGTATGTGAAAGTGAAGGTCCTTACACTGGGTTTCACAGTCTTACCTCGCACTAATCTGTCTTCATAAATCTGTCAGTCAAAATTCCTCTAAACTGTACGCGTGTGCAGCCGTGTATACAATAGAGCACCTATACGGGGAAAAAAAGAGAAAGAAAGAAAGAGAGAACAGAAAATATGAAAGGTTTCAGATTTTAAATTACGTCCAAAGGGGCGTTTTTCTTAACATTTTCTCTGTTACCTTTATTTATTAAATATTACGTTCTTCGCACTTAAACCATAAAATTCAGTTCAAGAGCAATATCGTAAAATAGTTTAAAATTAAGCCTATCTTTAGAATTTACAATACAGATTCTCGCGGGTTGGAGACAAAAATGTTTTTTTCTGTACAACGTTTCCATGGCTCGCTTTGAAATCCTTGAGATTGTTAATAAAAAATTCTTTAAAGTTTTACAAAATATGAAATCGATAATAAAACAAATTCGAAACTTCAAATTTGGGCTTCCAAATGCCCATATTCGCAGCAGGATTACGCCATTCAATATTCGATGGCTCTATGTAGCGTTGTTTTATCACAATGCGAGAAATATGCACACATTTATGCAGATTTTTCATTATTTAATTTCTTCAAATATAATGCAGGACTCTAAAATTTGGTGGCAACAGTTTGAAAGGTAAAATGGACATTTATAGTGAACCAATGCAAAACGAAAACAATAGTCCTTCAGGGACAAAGCTTTCTTTAAAAAAAATCATACATAAAGTCTTGAAAAATGTAACGCGTATGCACAACATAGCAGTCATCTTCTTCAGAGTAACTAACATCAATGAAAATATTGATGTCAGCATAGTTATGAAGAGGTTCGCTATGTTTATTTATCCACAGGCTGATACGGCTTACATTCACATGATCGACGTTACACAGAATCGACTTTGCAAAGGTTCGTAACTGCGTAATATCGATATCGATGCGGCGTTGAATCGATAGCGGCATATACGGCTGATTGTAGTTGTCAGCATACAATCGACACGATAAAACAAAATTTTGATAATAATATAATAATAAATAAGATGATTAATGCACATTAGTCACATGCACAGAGTCATGGCTGACGACTCTGCGTAGATTCAACAGCGGTATACTAGCTAGATGATGTAGAACAGATACCGGCATAGAATCAGCAAAGCGTAGAATCGATCTTGGCATGCAGTTGACAATGGCATAGCATAGTGTCAGTTTTTATAATTAAGTACCACGTATAATTAAGAGAAAAAGAATTCGATTAAATTATTATTTTAAGGTATCTGCATAGGTTCAGTTCTAGCGGAGGATCGATACTGGCATATCATCGAAACCTGTTTCTAGCCAGTGGTACGGATCTTACGCAATGTCGATTCTGTGCTACATGCCCCTCGATACGCATACAAATAATGCGAGGACATTACAAAGTGGAAGAATGGCAACTCACCCCACGCCGCGGGACTTGTGCTTCGCGTAGTTGAGACTTGTCTTCTTTCCGCTGATCAATTTCGCCCGACATCGCTGCGGTAATATCAGAACGAACGCTGTGTAGTCAGAGGGAGGACGGCGTAGACGTAGCAGATGCGATGGTGATCGGAGGTCACGTGACATCCGTCCGCTATTCGATACGTCCTCCTCGGAAAATCTGCTCCGCCGGGAGTTTGTATGTGTAAAAATCTGTGTTTCTTTCAGTTCCACTTTCAATCTTATTTTTTCACTCCCGACTGAAGTGGACGAAGCTGTGATCCTCTCTGCAACAGTTTCTCACTGAGAGATTAGAGTTTTTTTTCCCCATCTCCTTTCCTCTCTCCTCCCGGAGACTGTGTTTCTAAAGGGTTTAAAGTCGTCAGATTCCGAGAAAGATGGTTGTTTTCTGTAACGGAAGGTGATAGGGTTCGCCGTGAATGAAGTAGGTTAAGGCTTTTTAATATCGTTGATTACGCGCGATGAAATGAAATCTGTTTTTTTTTTCTTTCTTTCTTTCTTTCTTTCTTTTTTTTTTTTTACAGACTTTGTAGCTCACTGTAGTACTCAGACCTTTCAACGATAATAGCCTTATGAACATGCTTAAAAGTATAAGATAACCTCAAAGCAAATTGTTCCTGAGGAGATCTCAAGAAACGTTTATAACCAACCACCTGATCTGATGCAGTTTTCAATTTATTAGAGAAGTATATTGTTCTAAAATATCTGAAAGCTGTTTATTAATCTTATTTTTATTACGTTAACATTAAGGAGCATTGTAATAGATTAAGAAATTGAAAATGTTATTTTAAAATTCCATAAAAATTTTATATTTTGTTTAGAAATACCTTCGGAAACAGAAAGAAAACGAATAAATTATAATGCAAATTTTAATAATATGATTTTTATTCTGCGGCTGAGAGACTACGAATCTCAAAAATGTTTTTTTTTCCTACTAAAGAGTGAGCCTGATGGGTTACCATAGAATTTCTAACATCTTATTATCTAATTGAAACTTTTAAACGAAGGTTGAACTCCAAATTTATCATATTGCAACCTTATTTTACAGGAAAACCATGGGGGTAAAAACTATTCATATGCATATTTTTGTGAAAAACGTCTCATCTACGGAGGTAAGACTGCTGGACACTGCTAGTTGAACCGAAGTTCGAATTTTGGTGGATGGTTGGCTACATGGGCTTTTTCATGGTATTCCCCATGTGTAATGAGAGTTCGAGCCAATTAGAATACACTCCGCGAAATTATCGACAGCTGTAATAAATTATGTTAAACAAACAAAAAAATATCGAGGAAACTTTGAATAGCAAATAACTTCCTAACTTTCTTTAAAATTAAAAAGGAATAGAAAAAAATTTGGTTTAATAGCTTCTTGAGAGCTCTCTGAAAATTCATGTGGACGCATAGGGGGATAATCTTACTCGTACCTCAGTATGAAAACTAATGTTATGCACTATAGAAAGGACTCGATTGCCTGGATCTGTTATCCGAACATGTTTGGACAGACGTCGAAAAAGATTCCAGCGAAAACATTCGGAAATAAAACACGAATGTGGTGAGCTTTTACCGAATATATTAGTTATTGGGAAAACAAGACGATACAGATTACAGAGGACGATACTAACCAGACGATACAGATTACAGAGGACTGTTGGGATTTTAAAGAAGCGTTTTGTTTCATAATATGTCTGTAAATGTACTCAAAAGTAGTAAATACTCAATATGAATTATAGCTGTTTCTTTCTCCGTTTCGTGGGCTCATGTTGAAACAGTGAACCCTTTATCTTACATTTCAAACGCTCGAATCTCGCCTACAAGTAATTTTGGCCTTCTATGAATGAGATCCTCTTAGAAGGATGGTGCTCGATACCTACGCTCTCAGAAATATTCTGTCACTTTCAATGGTTCTCATTTTCAGGAAGAAAACCGCCATGAGAGAGTTCCTTTATTTTTGTGGGTTCAGATTAGACATGCTTTTAGTAATTAGATTAGCATGCATTTTAAATTTATATTTTAGGAAAATGGAGCAGTACAGAATAAGAAAATGTTTGTGAAAGAGGTTTTGGACTTTTATTCCATTTATATTTCATATCTGGAAATATGAACAGTGCAATTAAGTGATTAAAAAAATTAAATAGGAAAACATTTTTGATGTTAAAATGTGGGGACGAAGAATGACAGCGAAAGCAGACTTTTACAAGAAATTTAATTTTCACTAAAGTGAGTTCTCAGATAACAAATGCGTCTTATGGAACATTGCATTCAGAAAGATATGTTAGAGTTAAAAAATTAAACAATATTTCTAGAGTAAAATTCAGATCACCCTCATTTCGGACGTCCTGTGCAGAATGGAAGGTAGCACCAACAAGATGTAGCTGGAGGTTGGTAAAAAGGCCGGAGAAGTCCGAAAGAGCGATATCGGAGCTACTATATGGAGGGTGTCGCAAAAGATCCCATTCGAATCCGTATAGAGTGTAGCCGGTAAATGCAGATACATGTGGTCTTGCATTATCTTGATGGAACATTATTTTTTGTGCAGGAACTCAATTCGACGTTTTTCATTGATAGCTATGTCAACACGGACTATTGTCTGGCTGTACACCTTACTATCGAGGGTTTTTCCTTTTCCCAGATACTCACTGTGGATAATAGCACTGCAATCCCACCAGACACAAAGCACAATCTTTTTGTTAGTCAAATTGCGCTTTGCGACGCTTCCGACGGGTTCACCGGGGGCAGACCAAGCCCCTTTTCGTCTTGTATTGTTTAAGTAAATCCAATTTTCATCACAAGTGACGATCCGCTCCAGAATATTGCCCTTGCGTTGATATTCAAACAGATTAGGGCAAGCCCGAACACGTCTGTCCTTATCTGCTTGAGATGCTCATGGGACACCCAGCGATTGATCTTGTACGTCAAGTTCATGAGATGCATAGCGCGACTAATATACCAGGCGCGTAGCCATTATATTAGTCGTATTAGGTATATTAGTCGCCTGGGCCCGAGCACCCTCCCACTTCACCACTACCTGTACTTAAAAAGCACTAATTAATTTTTAATAGATAAGGCTTAAGTTTTTAAAATATTGCTTGCCAGCTTCCCAAAATATTCATGTGATTAACAAAAAAAGGAACGAAAAATCTACGATTTTTCATTTAGAAGTAAGATCAGGAAAAATCAGCCTTCCTCAGCTAACAAGTGGCGGGAAAATACTTTGAAGGTTAGGACACACTTTCAAGTCGTAAAGCTTTTGTTTCTATTACAGCTTTGAATAGCCCTCCGTATCCGGTCCCACTTTTCCTCTAGCTATCAAGCTTAATGCCACTAAAGAAAAAAATCTGATGTGTACACCACATGACTTTCTTGTACGGAATATTAAATTATACGCATTTTTTATTGCATTTTGTTTAAACTTATTGGATTCAATTAAATCTACTTCGCCGACAGCGCATAAACCACAATAGAATAAGTGCATTCTTTAAAATTCACTCTATTTGTTTACCATAGCGACACTCTGGCGCTAGGTTCACTTAACAGTATTATATTTCGTTCATATTATAACTCAGAATGCACAAAATTTGTATCCTTTCAAGACTTATCTAATCGTTTCCACATGTTGTATTCAAATACTTTAATAAAGCTAGAACGATGTATAAAAGAAATTAAGCAAACAAAACAAAAAAGAAACAGTTTTTCGCAGACGATTCAGTATTTCTCATTCAATTAATTCAGTTCTCACTTCGCGACAAGGCAAAAATACATAAAAACTCAAAATATCTCTATTAAAATTTACTAATTATTAAAAATTAAATTACTAATTATTAAAAATTAAATTATAAAAAATTAAGTAAAGCTTAAACACTTATTTCCTAGAAAAAATTCCAGAAAGGATTAAGCATGATTCAAATCGCAATAATAAATGAAGGCGTTTATCTTTGTTGTTGCGAAGCTACGTTTCTCTAAATTGGCAACAAATTCACTACTCTACTGTTTCAAATGTAAACAAGCAATGGCCGCCATCAAAATAGGCGGCACTTAAACAACTTTTAAATTGTTGATAATTCTAAAAATATTGCATACAGATTTACTAAAGGCATAAAAACCTTAACCGGAAGATAAAAACAATATAATTCAATCATTTTTAAAGAAAAAAAGTGTACAATTTACAAACATATAAGAGTAAAGAAACTGAGGTCACTGAGCCGGGTAACAGAGTGATATATTTATAAATATATTTATATATGTTTGGTGCGACCGATTGCAACCAAAATACGAAGTGCACATCTACATGTTATAGCATGTTATACTTCTGAAGCGGTCAGGACTCATATAGCAGTCCTATATGAGTCCTGACCGCTTCAGAAGGAGAAAGACGCGTTTCAGTAAGCTCCTGTACTTGGATTATTTTAACGCGTATTTTTTATCATTGGCAAATAAATTTGATATCAAAAGTTTCGTCTTTAAGAGATCTTTTAAATGATATAGTCTTCTCGGATGTAGGTCCATCAATCGGCGAGATATGGATTAATTAGTGATTTTCATATCACGATTTTGTATTTTCTTTGTGCTCAAGCATTTCGACCTTCCAACACGAAGCCCTGCATCGTTTCGCTTCAACTTGCACCGTCGGACACTTAATTTACGACTTGACCGTAAGCAGTATTCCCCCCTGCAAACCCCATGGAGGTAGGAAGTAAGATGGAGTCGCCCTAAACAAGTTTCTCCGTACCCTGCTCTGAAGCACCGGCGATCCCTACGTGGTGACCAAAACATTGGGTCATTTGAGTTCTATGGGATTTGACGCCTTCGGGTGTAAATATTTTGTAATTACGTCGCAAATATACATATAAATGTATATAATTTCTTTTTCTACAACACTTCAGAGTCCTAAGTATGTGAAAACAACATATTTTTAAACAACATTTCATTCTGAACGGAATTAAATGCTATACTTTTCACAGGACAGTTTTCTCAGAATGGTTTAATTTGAATGAAATATTTTCACAAGTTTTCGTTAATTACATTAGAAAAAAAAATTAAGGTAATTCGATTTTATTCGGTTAAGGTACAAAAATTCAAGATCAAAGTTTATTGTATTATTAATATTAAAATTATGCATTATTTCTTTTCTATTTATAGAGCTTCTTCCTAAAATACTTTCTTAAATATGACATGATTTTTTGGCTTCTTTTAAATCGAAAAATGTAAGTCAATTTATAATTAATGCTCTATTCGGTTCATTTTAAATTAGAGAATTATTAGGAATTAAATAGTATTTGACTCTCTCTGAACATTTCTGAAAGGGAATAA